GGAAGGATTTTTGTTATAGAAGTCAATCATTAACCGATTGATTGCCGGCTTTTAAAAGCGGGCATTTTGAATGTGCGCCCAGCTGGACACAGCTGGGTCAGGACAGCGGGCAGCTGCGGTGTGGGCCACGTCACTCGGCGGGCGTTAATTGCGTCGGGGCTTAATTGGCTAACCAGCAGCAGGTTGTCCCTTTAGTACCCGTTAGATGCCCACATGTAGCCGTGTACGGCATCTACAGCATCCCGTCAAATTAAATCCCGCAGCTGCCTGCGTGGATGAGCAAGCGATCCGGCTTGACCGGACGCGGTTGTGTGCCGGCATAAATCCCGCCGTTTACTCTGCTCTTCACGCTCACAATGCGCCCTTAATTCCCGCCACGCAGATGCAGGGAAAACGCCGTGTATAGCACTGGATATCCGAGCTGGCACCTGCGTGCACCCATCCGCCGCACGTTCCTCCCCATTTAAACTTGACCGTTAACGTTTATGACACCAAACACGCCGTCTCATTTGTTGTCAAAACACTGCAGTTCCATCAACTTTCATGTGACCGCGTTATCGAAGATTGATTTCTGATTTATTTACGGGACTGTATTTGTTTGGCTGGTTTTGGAAGTTTGCAGTTATGTCCTGACAGAAGACGCAACCACTGTCTTGAAGGTCAGCCGGCGTTTACGGTATTAAGCGCGGCAACAAAGTGGATTGTCATTTGTACAAAGTGTGCCTGTCTGGCGCGTTCCCAGCGGATATCTGTTCGTCGTCCGGGCGCTTCATTACAATTCCATCAGAGAAAAAAGCCCATTTAGCCTTGACAAGCTGGCGTTATCCAGCCGCCGCCAAGGCCAGTCCAGCCCGGGAGCGCTTGGATATCCCGGCTGCAACTGCAACTGCATCCCCGATCCTCCCATCTTCCCCTCATCTGCACGCTGATTCTGACACATCCCACGCTGCACTACTATTGCTAAATGTAAATGCAGCCGGAGCCATCCAACCGGCAGAAAAAAATCCCAATAAAACAGACAACCGATCGATCGAGCGTCGATGGGCCGCACTCGCACCTTCCTTCGCCAGTTACGCTACTCGTACCGGAAAATTAAACACACGAAAAAAATGCAATTTGCAGGAATAACAGCGTGGCGTTGTGGTATCTGATATGGAGTGTGTATGGCCATGTGTGGTCGCTACAGATATACATAATCATAATATAAATAAATAGACGCAGGAGAATGCAGGCTGTTGACACAGCGGAGTGGATACTGGAGTGGCAGAATAGCGTGACGCGGTATTGGCTATCTGTCCATGCATATGCATAATATTATGCGCTGCGAGTCTGTCTTGCCTCTTCAATCGGCTTTACATACACGTCTGTCTGCCGCTCAGTCCCGGCTTTAAATACGGTAGCCAGCGAGACACAGCGACAGACCGCTGTCCACACAATGGCCGGACAAAGCCTGAATGGCCGATGGCTGTTTACCCAACCGGTCATATAACCGCAATCGACACACACACAGCTGATGCGCGCAATCCATACAGCGCATTTTTCCACGCAGAATTCTCAGCGATTTGCAGCATTCCTCACGGATGCCATTATAATGGCCTCACGTGGGTCTGCGCCCTTATCACCGCCATTAACCAGCGCTTTTTTCCACTTTTACCCATTCCCGGCATTCTTGGCGCGCGTGAGCTTGAGTATAAATGTTATTTAGGGAAATTTACGGTTTGATGTGGCATCTCCATAAAATTGACTAAACGATTATGCGAGTGGCGATGCGCACAGCTGTTGGCTGTTGACGCTGCGGCGCAGCGGACCGCATCGGAGCCGGTCGCACTGGCAACCGCTGTCCAGTGGCGATCGGATCGGCCAGCCGGAAAGAATTAGAGCTGCAGCATTTTGCGCTGCATTGCCCGGCGACTGTAGCGTAGCGTTTAATTTGCAGCGCAGGGAAATTGCACGAAGGCGGGTAATGGATGGGGGCTCGGTTTGGGCTGGGGCCTCCCGCACGCCGGCTATCATAACAATACGCTCAACTGACCGGCCACAAAAGGCAGCCCTCATTATCATGCACGATGCTGTCCCTTTCGTCTCTCTCAAATGAGCATTGTTGTTGACACAACGCTAATGCTCCGACCAACTGTCCTGCCAATCAATTTCCCATAACACTGTCCGTCCCCGCACTCACTCGCTCACTGCGCTCCCCGCCCATTGAAAACGGGAACGCATGTTAATTAATAATCACAAACGGACCTAAGACACTCCTGCTTAATTAATACTTATTATTCTGTTTTCCCCGCTCCTCAGTTCTCACCCGCGCCGATCGAGTGGGTATTTTGTCAGGTCTCAACGGGAAAATCGATCGAAAAATTGTTTCTTCTGACTGACTGCGCCGTGTTCAACGGTTCATCAGGGCGATTGGTAGTGACGGGCGTGGAGATGATTATTTTGGCTGCAGTACGAGTCAATCTGCCGGAGCAAATATTTGTCCAAATTGGAAAATAATCAGCGCGGAGTTGGGAGCGGAAACAACAGAACACTCATGAGCAGCAGCTATGCTAATGCTAATGCACGCCGAGATGCAATACATATATAACCGGCATTTTAATATGCAGCTGACCAGTGCATACATATATACGCTCGTCGGGTCAGATAAGGTCGGCCCCTATCTGATCGAATCCGGCTCATGATCAGCATTCGGCGGACGCTGGCCAAGTGAGCAGTCAGGATAATTATGCAATCTCCGTCAAGTGTCCATCCGACGGCCAGCAGGCGCCGATACAAGCCAACGACTAATAACATGCAGCTAATCTCTGCGCCTTTACGCAACGCCAGCTCCCTTCTTCGTGATGGCAACAGCAGCGGACATTCACTCGCTCACTCAGCGCCGTTATGTCCATCGGCAAACATGCGCAGCAACGCAAACAGTGGAGATTTGCTTGGGTATACATGTGTAATTATGGAAATGTCTGCACACCTACGATACACAACCACAGCCGGAATGACAGCTGTTCTCTCCCTAAATATACACACATCACTGACATCATTCCTCCGCTTTTAAAATAGACACAAATTTATACACTGACAAATGAATCATTGTTTTTATTTTTATACTGAAAATTACAGTGAGAATTTACCGTAAAAGATGTTACAGATTAAAGACTAGTATTTTAATCCCAATAGAATTTTGCTACATGGGCAAAAATTAATTTTAGAAAAAACGCTTCTCTCAGCTGTTGTGGCTGTCTGCGCGCTGAAGAGCGGCCTGATGATGTGCCAATAATTAGACGAGTGTCTGGTGGAAAACGTCGGCATATTTGCTGGATGATGTTGTGATTTATTGGGCCGGTGATCGCGCGCCGTTTCCCAGCAGACGAGGCTATTAAGTCCCGTGATTTGTGATGGCTACGGCGCGGTATGTAGCATGTATCGCCCGAATCCCAATGTTCTGTATCGCCTAATCCGTCAAGTGGCCCGCGCTCTTCCTGCCGCAGCGTGGCCGGATGAAAACGGGCGCACACTTGCTGACTTCCGCTGTCGTCAGCGAACCCGGCTGACTAACACCGCATCACCGCGCGTTGTACTCATCGCCCGGATAATCACAACAAATTCCCCACCACCGCGCGCATTCAGCGCTGCAGTGAACGAAACAGTGAAACAACGCTGCGCCATCGATCCGTGCCGGGCAGCCGCTGACTTCCGGTCCCCCGATCATACTTACTCATCTCCCCAACTGCCTACTATATCGGTATATTGTACAAAACACACAACGCACCCGCTACAAAACAATATACATCGGCGTTATATATAAACACGCTGACTGAGTAATGTGTATGCGCCGTATAGATGCAACGGGAACACATCCATCAATAGACGCCACGGGTGGGATACATCATACATGCAAGCGAATCATCCAGCAGCTGCACACTACACTATATACGAACGCAATCAGTGTGTGTTTGCCAGCAAGGGACCACGTAAAGTGCGGGGAACTGCTTGGCTATTCACTATTCACATCGCAGCTCTTACAGATCGAACGGCGCTCTGTAAAGGTTTATTGACGGGCCGGCGTGCGGTTTATACAGGCCATAAAAAATAAACAATAATTGCCACACACTGCGCCCCGCGCTTACAACCTCACTGAACTTACAACTCCAGCCAAGAGTGCGCCGATATCGTGTTGGCTACAGTTTGTAGCGAATTACCGGTCAACGGAACTGGCCGGTCCTCTCTCTTTCATACGACGACCGGCGTTAACACACCGCCCGTCGCTCCATACAACAAAAAACCCAACCGATCCGGGAAAATCGAAATTTACAAATATTGGGACACATCCACTGTCACATTCCGCGGCCCCCGCACCGACACACAGGCTAATTAAATTTCAATTAGACGGCCGAGATAATTGTATCCGATGCGGCTGTCGCATCTCTCACACGTATCCTAAGAATAATTTCTCATCTCGTGTTCTGTCGCAGCCTGACGCAGATGTTTATGCCGATCAAGTGTGATCTGTACACCGAAATTAATTACACAGCCGGCGTTCCTTTGCGCCGCGCTATCTCCGGCGAATTTTCCCATTACAGTGTCAAGAGTGAGCGGCTGATAATATTACGAGGGTTATTAAATAAACGACAACACCGATGCGTACACCTCTATTTATCCAACCAAGCGGAAAGTGTATTTGCATAAACAGCAGTTAGGGACGACAATTACACGACAAAGCAGGCAATTCAAGCGATGAATTCGTCCCTTTGTTGCGGCATTATCCAGGCCAGTCGGCCTTAACTACACGCTGATTTTTTGCACTGAAGCGGCACGGTGAGAAAATGAGAAAAACGGCGCTGACGAGGACGTGAAGCAGTCAAAGAACAAAACCAGATGGACTGTCACTGCACACTGCACTGGCATTAACAGTTAACATGAACGGCGCCCGGTAGCCGGATTAATAATTAAGCCGGCTAATTGCTGGTTAATTACACGGCCGCACTTCAAGAGTCAAGGCTTACCTTGCGTTAGTAGCAGGCCCAGCAGGACACCGGCGCTAATCGCACTCACACCGGCCATCCTCGATCGTCGATCGCAGCGGAGAAATAAAAAGAGGGAAATAGTGGTGAAGACTCTGTCGACACAGCACCGGGAATGGTTAAGATCCTGCACCAACAATGCGCTTCTTCACTGGGCCGATGGATAAAAAACCCGCACAGACGATACAATGATAATCGATCGCGAATTGTTATGCGGCGCGACGGGCGCCCACAGTTTGACTAAATAATATTATATATATTCCCACAACGGCTTATCCTACGTGCAATCAGACAACATTTTTTGATGGAATTAACGTTCACCGCACAGCCAAAAATATCTCCTCGCGATGCAAATCAGAAAAACAAATGCTTACGCGGACAAAAACTACCTTGATGATGGAGATGGATGGAGCAGGGTTTTTTCGATCCAGCAGAATTGAGAACATGGAATGAGTGAACGGCTCACTCACTCGCTGCTTCTGCCTTGTAGCGAGGGAATAACACCATTTACATACAGTGCACAGCTTCAGCGCGCAGTTCGACCAATCGGCCGACTCAAGGGGCGGGGTTGCTGTGCAGTCGCTGTGTAAAAGAGAAGCATGGGAAAACTGGAAGCCGGCTGCCTTCATAGTTCATACACAGGCGCTCTTTCCGCTTCATTCAAACGATCGGGAAGGGACAAAAGAAAACCGATGCAGTGTGCCCGCCCACTGAGAGGACCAATCGGCGTTCGCCCTGCGTAACCGCACTCTCGGGTGGTTTCGCTGGTGACAGAATGCAAAGTTATGAGCCATTCTGTACTCTGGAATGCGCAACCTGGTTTGCTTGATTATTCCGCGGAAATGATTTATGCCTCATTTGTAACGTAATATTATTTGTATCTACCAGTTTTTTGGATATATAAATATTGGAGATTGGTTGTTAAGAGTGGCTGCCGGCATCTGGTGGAAAGCGGGCTGTTATTGAGCCGGCGGGCGAATAGAAAGCGAGTGCAATATAAAGGGTTAGGAGGAGCGTTGGGGATCTGCGCAGGTGGCATGTACTGGGTGGCTGGCAGGCATCCATAATGGAGTAGCGCCGACTGAATGGCTGGGGTGTGTGACCCACTTAGCCAGCCAGTTGCGTAAGGTTTTTTGACAGCGCGCGCTCTCCAGTCTCCAGCGCCTAATTGCCTGCCTATTAAGCCTTAGCCCACGGGCCGCGAGCCGTCGTCCCCCATTCACGTTCATCTGACATTCTTCGCTAATCTCTACACTGCTCCTCAATTGGCGCACGTTTGTTGAGGATGCCGGAATGATTTATGCCCGACTGATCAGCTGTGCTGCTTGACAACACGCCGCGTCCGCCGCGCACTGGGAGGCCCACTTTTTTCCGTGTGTGTATCACTTACGAAGTGGCGCAGCCGGTGCGGACGGGATGAGCCACAACGTTCGGCATTTGTTGGCCAACCGAGCGGGATGGATGGTGGAGAGTGAGGAGAAAAGGGAAAAGTGTGTCAGATGATACAGCGCAGTGCAGAGCAACCCGGGTGAATTGCATTTAATTGCGGAAAAATGATCGATCGGCCGGCATTGGCCGACTTCGGCGGACATTAAGACGCCCATTCAGCGTTTTCCGCCCGGCTGTTAGCGGGCCAAATGGCACCCATGCAGCTCGCGCTGCGCCGCTCATTCAACAATCAAAATGCTCAATTTCCTCCCATTTTCAAGACGGCTTCACAAAAACGCCATCAAGCAGCCGATCAAAATCACAGCATTGTGCTGACACCAATAAAACCATTTAAAATAAAATAAAAATCAATATATAAAAAATATGATCTGAAAGGCAATAAAAAATCTATTAAATGTAAAAATATATGCTCTAAATTTCTAAAAACAGATAAGCCATGACTTAACCACCGGAAGGCGTTTGTGCACCGGTCCAGGGATCCCAGAGACGCCAGGAGTGGAGGATAAACTCAAACTGCACCGCCGCGCTCCACTGCCGGCCGCAGACATCCCGAATCACCGCTTCGTAGGCGTTGCGGAACCCGCTTCCCAGCGGACACACCCAGTAGTCCGTCTCCTCCTCCAGCCGCACCCGCACCCGTCCCGCCTCTCCCAGCGGACACAGCACCGTTCCCAATTCCCCGCGGTACATCACCGCCGGGTAATTCACGCCCTCCAACGCGCCGGCGGTGACAAACAGCACCTCCCCGACGTCCAGAATAATCCGTGCCATGGAGATTTTGCGGGCGAGTTTCTTCCCGGCACTGACCACGATGCGGACGCCGTCCCAGGGGGCCAGGGTCATCTCCGCCTGGATGAAGGTGGCGGTGGGGGAGCGGTAGTCCGGGCGGCGGTGGTGGGCGGCCGCTTCCTGGATGTAGGTGCTGTACTGCTCCGTGTGCAGGCGGGTCACCGCCAGCTGGGAGAGGATGGCGGGTTTGGAGGGGAAGCGGCCGGATTCGATGAGGAGGTCGGTGAGGATCTCCATGAGATGGTTCTGCACCACGTCGCGGATGACGCCCACCTCCTCGAAGAAGGCCAGACGCTGTGCGACGTCCTCCGTCTCGTTCATCACCACGTCGAGGCGCTGCAGGTGGGGTGGTTGGAGGAGGGGGCGTAGATGCGGGTTAAGGTGGAAGAAATGCGGGATGGCCAGCACGGCTTCTTTGGCTGTGAAAAAATGTGTGGGATATAGTCAACCGCCCTCGTCCGCGGCTTACCGTACGATCGTACTGCCACGCACACCAAATAAATTCACTGAATTTAAATCCAAACAATTCAAATAAATATTTCTAAATATTCAACAAAAATTGTAAAACATCCTATATAATCAATTAAAATTAAATATTTTTTATTTGCCTGAAAAATCAATAATTGCCAGGTTCGCTGTTGAATAATCGGCGCTGTAACAAGAAAAAAAATCCGAAATTAAATAATCCTTTATAATAAAAGATTAAGAGGGGGCGTGACCAGTGTGTCTGTCAAATCCCACAGAATCGCAGAGTGGATCAATATTCAACATTTACGGATCATTCGATAGCGCTGATTTCGTAGATGAGCCTGAAACTTTCGGATTTCAAAAAACAAACATCGTTTGAGAGAAAACTGTAAAAAACCCTATCATACAAAGTCTACGGAACCCCAACACAACCAATCAGCGAAGACTTAAAGTAACTGCCTTGCTGCAGAGCTTGCGCGGGTTATATCGTGAAACAAAATTCGAAAAATTTTGTTTGTTTTGATGTATTTGGTCTGCAATGGCTTTAAGAAACATTATATTAACAGCGGTGGGTTTAAGGATAATAAAAATTTAGGCACAAGAAAGATTTAAGTTATTTTGACAACCGAACGCACAAACGACCCAGGGAACTTAGGGAAGTGTCCCAAGTGAGAGCTGCATGCGTCGCGAATCTTGCTGGCAGCCTGGCAGTACCAATTATCAAGTAGCTGCGGGATGACGGTGGCTGCTTGATACTTAGGTAAAAGGCAGTGTTTTGCGGTAGTTTTAACTTAATCATTTCTCTGTTGACACTGTTTCTTTAGTTTCGTATTAATAGAAGCTTTATTATACCGATGAAAGACGGTATTTTTAAAATTAGTAATGAAAAACGGATATTTACAGAAGGCGAAACGGAGCTGCTGCGCGAGCGGAGCTCGCTAAGCAGGAGGAGCAGCAATCAAGTGAGACATCGTTTGGCAGTTTTTTCTTACAGTTTATCAGCCAGCTCTGCAAGACTGCAACAATTGAACCTTTTATAGTTAGTTAAGTATTAAGTAGTTAGTTGATGTGGGATTGCCACTTGCCGCTGGAAAAAAATCACTTACCGTAATAATCGAATTTGCACCCCTGGGGTGCAAAAGTTCAAACGTCCTGGAGTAGGGGGTCTTATTTCGGGGAGGAGGCGTTATTTCTGGGGGTGGTACTATTTTTCAAACAGTATTTTTCAGAAGGGGACGTTTATTTTTCAAACAACTGCGCATTCTGTTCCATTGAAATTGAACGCAGTAGATACCGGTGTTTGCAGTTTCAGAACCTTACGAGCAGCATTCTGAAGCATAGCACCAAATTATTTTTGTGACCGTTTACTGTTTATTAATTACATCATAGCAGTTATTATGAAGCAATTGGCCTTATATCTATCATTTCGTGGCGCTTAACATTTAATAACACCCCCATGGGAGGCAAATTCGGGGAGGAGCTATTTTTCAAACGGGTTATGGGAGGGGGCTTACTTATTACGGAGAGTGCCTTATTATGCGGGGAGGTGCAAATTCGATAATTACGGTAATTCGGTAATAACTTAGTTTTTGTCAGCGAAGTTAACTGTATTAGCAAATGCGGTAATTTTTATTTTAACTGCATTTATCATCAGGCAGCAGTCGATTTCCTCTGCGCACTTTGCGCGGTGTCAGCCATACTACCGTAGAAGTACAGGTAATTTACCAGTACACTTGCAAGTTGCAACACATAATCGAATTTAAAATATAGAATTTGTAATTACGAGTATGATCCGTATTCTTCCTATTAGTACAGTATCTCAATCATAATTTGAGTCTTAGCAGCCTGTATATAACGTAAATTATTTGTAGCTGATTTGTTCCGCGCAGTTTGCGCGGGGTCTACTAGTTAAATAATAATACAATATTCCTGACAGCACGCTTCTCGCGTTGTCAAAGCCTATTTATTTGTAAATGTGCCCGACAAAAAATGCAGAATGAAAGCGCAATGTAGGGCGTACCTTTGTAGTGATCGACCAGGTAGAAGGCATCGCGCTGGACGAACATGTGCAGAACAGAGAAGAGCTGCAGCGCCGTGGCGTGATCCAGCCCGAACGGCTTCTCCAGCACGATCCGCACGCCCGCCCCGCAGTGGCGCGCAATTAGCCGCACCGTCTCGGCGTAGGCCGCGGGGGGAATGGACAGGTAGAAGATGCGGCGGGTGCCCTTATCCGGACTGGCGCAGAAGCGGGCGTAATCGTCGTCATCCTTCAGACGCAGCACCACGGCTTTTTCCAGCAGCTCCTTCCCCTTCTGCAGTTTCACGTGCAGGTGATCATGCAGCTCGTGAGGCTCCTGGCGACTGGCCAGGTACAGCGTGAAGGGGGCAGGGAAGGTGGGGAGGAAGTGGTGCAGCGCGGGGAGCACGTAGCGCAGGGAGAGATCACCTGTTGCGCCCAGCAGGATGAAGTCGATGGATTCTTCATCGAGTGCGTTCTTGGATGGCTCAGGATCAGGTTGGGCGCGGAGGTACAGGCCGAGGAGGATGCAGGATGCGGCGACGGTGAGGCTGATGAGCAGCAGGGATGCATCCTTGGCTTCCAGACGCATGGGAGCGCCGGATTGCTCTGCAGTCTGCAGCTTGTATAGGACCTCGAGGGATTACGATAACGGCAAGGTAGGGATTATCCTCCAACTGTCAGCTGCGCCGCCTGTGCGAGAGAATATGATTACAGTCTTATGAGCGAATTATTTTCCAATGGAGTATAAAGTATGGAATATAGTGGAGTTTTTATCAATTTTAACCAAATGGATATCATGATGTTGTCATCATCGTTTTATCAGCAGAAATGAAATGTTCGACTGGACGGTGTCGCGTCGGTGTATAGGGCGTCCGCCTCGTGAGGCTGTGATGCTTGTCAGCAACTTCAAACACCATCGACAACTGACAGGCGGCAAAAATCTGTCCATCTTGCAACCGGTCCGGCCGCCCTGGTTGATTCTGCATTAATTTTCTATGATAAAAGTTGGACAAAAAAGGACGTCAATAAAGGGAATCAGCCAGGTCGGGAAAGGCTACCGTGTACGGTGTACAGTAGTTGCCAGTTGGTGCCAAAATGCGGCGCAAGCCACTTCTGAGCCTGTTACGATCGGAAGGATATAAGGAGTCGTGCGCAACCTTCGCAAGAAGGCAGCTACTTTAGCGGCTCGTTTGAGCGGTCTGCGCTCTTTGCTTTGAAGTTTGCCGTACTTTAGTGTATGCAAAGCGGTAGTGACCCGGTAGTCTGTCTGGTCTCCAGTACAGCACTTTCTTTCCGCAACCGGGCGGTGTAGTTTCCAAAAAACCTGTTCTCTTCTAGTCGCTTATTGTTAGTCATCTTTCATTCGTTCCAGATTATCGCTGTCTTTTTCTTGCTTTTCGAACCGGCACTATTGCATCCTTATTCCTTACTCCTGATTTGATTTAGCCACCTACTTATACCCTTTTCTCGTGAGTGAGCAATCAGTTGCACGGCCGACTTTGTTGCAGCTTCCACGTTATACCTTGTAACCGTTAGTCGTGCATCTCCTTTGCAGCAGCATGAGCGCATCATCCCGGTTCTTTCGCGAGTTGTGGTCGGGTGCGCGGGAAATCAACTACGGGAACACCGTGCTGGTGCTGCGCGACGACGGTCCATGGTGGTTGGGATACGTTCAGGATGTCCGGGGACAGGACTTACTGGTGGACTTCGATGCCAGCGCAGTGCCGGCCCAATGGATCCACACCAGTCGACCCTGGCCGCACCACTGCCTGCCGGACGATGTCCTACACCCGTATGTCGAGTGCCGCCTGCAGGTGGCGCTGCGGGAGCACCACGATGGACCGATGGTCTTCCGTCCCGCCACGGTCGTTGCGGCATGGCATGACCAGCTGTTGGGGGTGCGCCTGGACGAGAAGCAGCCAGCGGACTGCTTCTTCGTGCACCGGTTCCAGTTTGTCGAGCGCTTGCCAGTGCCGGGCGACGGGGAGAGTTTCTTTACGCGCACCGATGGGTTGATGTACATTAAACACGTCATCCGCTTCCCCGCCGCGCAACAGCTGCGCCACGTCGACCGCCTCCCGGTCTTCGTGGACCGGACCTGCCAGTTCCGCCTGGCGGAAGGGGATTCTTTGAACAGACTGATGGGCAAAACGATTTCCGGTCCTGGATCCGCGTGTTTCTACCTCGTCGGACCGCGTCTCAAGATGGAAGAAGAGCGGAACGCGGAGTTCGGGGTGCACGTGGAGTGCCGCGTGTTCCTGCGCGCGGGAAGCGACACGGTGACCTTTGTGTGTCTGGAGGTACACAATGAGGCCGCCGGGCGCCGGATGTCCTGGAATGAGGAGGCTCTCCAGAGCGCCTGCTACGACTGTCTTCGCCGGGAGTCAGCCGCTGTCTTCTTCGCTTTTCCATCGGCGTTGCAATGCGGTCAGTGCCTGCAACTATATACAGTGGTGCAAGTGGATGATCACATTGATTTAATTATTAAGCAAACTACGCTGTAGTAGCGTGTCCAGTTTATACTCGTATATAGGGGGAAAAATGTGTCTAGCCGAACCAATCCCTTGTACTTCTGATGTAAGCCAGCTGGTGGTTTACGTTGTGGCTTGACAGTGTTTTATGTAAAGCGCTGCCATTAAGATTGCAGGTACTGATAACAGGTAAGCAGCACTCGTACAACTGCAGGTAAACAGGCTAAAACTGTGTTATAGCCCGGACCTGCCTGGTGCAGCTAATACCACATGTACCGTCAATGCCGCACAGCCTTAATAGCGGCGCTGTACATAAAACGCTGTGCAGCCACAACGTAAACCACCAGCTGGCTTACATCAGAAGTACAAGGGATTGGTTCGGCTAGACACATTTTTCCCCTTATATACAATATATGTTGCTAATGCCTAATGTGCTTAAACCAACTTACAGTATATCATTTTTATGCGCTTTGATTTGTTGCACTAACACGTTAGAATTTAATTGCACTTTATAAGGAATAACAATTTACCGAGTGTATATTCAGTCTCTCGTATCAAACATTTTTTGAGGTAACAAGTAAAGTAAGATGTATTGGAATATCTACATCAACGTGTCCATGTAATTTATGACATTTTTGCTGTAAAGCTGTGGGCATACATGATACCGGAACAGGTAAAGTACAGTACAATGAGTACATGTATATTTGTAATTGCCGCGCACCGCATCACGATCGTATTATATATAAAGAAAGGTTTTGTTTCAGTTTCTTCCGGCGAAGTGGAAGAATGGTCCATACGTGGACTGGCGCATCCGATCCTTGCTGTCCTTCTAGCCGACGCCGATGTGGTTAACCAGCTACGCTTTTCCAGGCAAGTGCGCACCGATCGTTCCCTAAACGTACCGGTTTCATACTGTGAAATACCGGCAGTCTGTCAATAAGAAAATGTACCAGTAGCGCAATCTTTTCGTAAAATAGTGATCTATTTCGTTGTTTGGAGCAGCGTTTGCGCGTTATGGAGGGAGATTGTGCGGAAATACAGGGATAAGCGGCTCGTCATCCTGGACATTGACCAGCTGTGGCCAAGGAAGCCATACGTCCATGGAGCGATTATTGAGTCCGCTTATCGCCAGTACAAACTCGTGGCCACGCTTGAACGGTCCATTCGGAAAGAAACTACAACGCTGGCGCTGATTGACGACGACCAGCGCCCTCCACCGCTGATCATCTCGAGTGCAAAATGGACGCGCTCGGGACAGTGCTGGCCAGCAAGGGACGGCGCCTGTCCAAGGTCATCGTCAAGAAGGGCTGCGATGTGGCTGCACGTGCCGGCGAGCCCCTCCTGACCATCGCGATCGACGACCTCGTCGACGAGGACGCCATGGACATCGGCGAAGAGGCCGACCCCGACGGCGAGCTGGAGGCCGTGTCCGAATTGCTGGCCGTCTGCGACGAGCTGCTCCTGGTCAGATTACAATCCGTCGCAGTCCCTCGCTGAATCCGCACGCAGTCTGCTGGCCAGCTGCCCCGGCTGGCCGCTGCCGGCGCCCTTGACCTCCGGCGTCCGTTCCCAATCCGTCCGCGTCGATCTGGGTGTGGTTATCCCCCTTCTCCGCTTTCGCCACGAGGAAACGGCGGCGGAACAGCGGCGCCACTTTCTGGCGGCCGCCAGCGTCAACCGTCCGGCCATTAGTCAGCAGGTGCAGCGAAAGTTCACGGCGTTGTACGCCCGATGGGTGGCGACGCTGGAGCCCGGATGGACCGACGTTCGCGCGTTTCTCAAAGTGTAAGCATGAAAGGTCACGCTACTAAATTATACTGTGGAGCGTAAATACTTCTCTTTTGGTTGCGCAGGTTCAACTGTCTCGGTCCGAATGACGATCCGCAGCGATGGGACACGATGGATCTGCGCCAGCTGGATGTGTCCACTTTGAACAACCTGACCTTTGCAGCACTGCACGGGAGTTACAAGGACGACGGCGAAGAAGGGGACGATCCGATGACCGGTTATGTTGATGATTCCGAGGAAGGTCTACAGTCCAGACTTTGCCCATCTTTTGGTTGGGCTGAAAATTTTCCCCATCTTTTCCAGCCCATCCCATTTTTTAGATGAAATGGGGATCGGATGAGGACAAGCAGCGGATGGGCTGAGATGGGCGGATAATGTTGTGTTGCGCGAGTATATAGCGCAAGCGTGTTCTGTGGGCCAGGAGCAGCATGCATCATGAATCACGTGCATATTCATAGCCATAACGGGCGTGCTTACATTGTATACATTTATGGATGCGGTTGGATGCACAATAGCTTGTTGTGGTAAGCAAGCCAGAGGTTGTGGCTTGAACGATAACGGGCAAATGACTGAGCGTGAAGAAAGGAATGAATCATTGTGTAAACCAATAGTGTGTCTTTGTTGTCTGCAATGTTTTATCTCTCGTAACATGTATTAAGTGCCTGGCTAAAAAAGTAGTGTGCGATGAAGTTGTCAAATGATTTAGTACATCTCCATCCAGCCTAGGAACAACTTCTCTTGGAATATCTGCCTTATCTTTGCATGCCATTTTGTTAGCATTCGAGTTGTTGTCTGCTAATCTGCATTAAAGGTCATCGGGTCGGATCAGCCGCTGTTGTTTATCGTTGTTGTACTGGTAGTAGAAAGGTTACATCCACCGAGTCTCAGCTAACCTTTAGTTACGCGACATGGAGGGCATGTGTGCGTAGCAAGTAAAGGTAGCTGAAGGTGTGGAGCTGCGAGGGAAGGTCAAGTTCAGTAGTGGTGAGGTTATACCCACTGCAAGTGTTTCAGAGTGAGTTGATGTGCTGTTAGCAGCAGTGAGTGCACTGCTGCAAGTGACAATGTATTAGTAGTGGTGAGTGCATTACCACTACGAATGTTAATCGTGAGACATCAGTGCTAGTGATTTGCTGATGGATAGTGTGTCATTGTGGACGCTGTGAGACGAGCGACGAGTGTGGATTGTGAAAGGTCACAAGTGTCGCTTACAGCAAACCACGCGTTGTATGAGCGAGTGTGGGAGCGGTATCTAGTAAGAATACTTTGCTGCTTACAAACGACGTCGGTGAATGTTTTAAGGCTTGTTAGTGCAGAAGGTGGTGCCGGCGTTCTGCGGTTCTTTTGTCGGAGCGTACAACGATAGGTGTGTTGGAGCGGAAGCGGGTGCAGGTGGTCGACAACTAGCGGAAGCAGCATAACGGCATTCCTCTGTAAGTCGTATGGCAACCTACCATTTTTGCTTTCTCTTCGTGGGTCCTTTTGTTCATGACATAGTTTAAACAGGATAAGTTAATAACGATGTGCAGTTGCTTTCAGTTTGTTTTTTTAAAATAAAGTATGTGTCAAAAATAGTCATTTAGTTGACTTCGGACGAATGTTTGTTATTAACTGGTTAATCATGAAAATTGATCTTATGATTAAGTTGACCTTAGAAGATAGTCCTAATATTACTAGAATCGTAAATCATCAGCTTACTGTAAGGGATTTCGATCATTTTAACAGTGTGTGCTCTAGATTGTTTGCGGATTTTCCCTGTATTCTTTCGATTTCTTTTGCATGTAAAAAATACGGCGTATATGGTGAGACCCGCCTGGAAGGAAATATTTATAAGCAGGACCAGCAGAGTCGAAACAGTAATACTTAAGTACGTATTTAGGTATATTTCGATGCCGTCTTTTCATGCCATTAATTTTCGAAAAAAATTGAATTAACTCTTAAATATATCGATTTGTAGAATAATTAAGTTTTTTATCTGCGCAAGTCAACAGTCCTGCTGACGTACCAGAAAGAGCGAATCTGTAATTCGTCGTAACCGATCGTTTTAACATGCCCCTTTAAAATGCGATTCTTGAATTTTTTGTTGTTGATGATCAAAAAAGTTTGATTGCATAAATTTAAGTTTAAAAAAAAGTGGTTGTACGTAAGATGGCAGGAATTCGCCTTAGAGATTTACCAGTATTTGGTGGACAGTCCACTGAATCTGCAGAAGATTTTATGGACAGGTTTAACAGAATTAAGAACTATTTTTCGTGGAGCGATGAACAGTCTTTGGTGCATTTCGGTTTGTGCTTGACAAATGCTGCCTTAAAATGGTTCAAGAACAGCGAATCCAAACTGAAAAAATTTTGCGACGCAGAGCAGGAATTTTTGAAAATCTTCGGTAGAAATCTGTTAGACTTAGATATCAGTAAATTCATGTCAAAAAATTTCGCTGTTGACGAACCCTTGACGTACGTATACGGTGTGTTGGATTACATTGTTGCAACCCATGTCAGCGCTGGAGAAGAAGAAAAGGTCAGAATTCTTTTCGAAAATTTGCCGATGCAGCTCAAAGCAGATATGTTACAAAATCGTCCCAAAACAGTCGAGTTATTTACTGAAAGGCTGCAGAAAATTCGTAAGAAGTGTCAATATCTAAAAGCTGATGGGGAAGTGCCCGACGATTGTAAAATTTTCCCGCTTTCTAAGATGTTTTGACGTGCTACTGGAAGTTCCAACTAGTTGTTCGCTTAAAAAAAAATAATTCAAAAAAAACAGCAATAATTCTTAGCTCAGTTAGCTAATAATTCAAAACGCTAGTCTAAGTATGAATCAATTAAATTGTAATTATGCAAGTAATGTTCTTTTGGAGGTGGCGCAATTATCGGTACACCAATAAAGCAAGAGAGTAAACCTTTTATGTACTTTAGCGCTGTGAGTGATTCAGTCGCTTTGCTTAATTCTAACAATTTTGCTGATTTGTGCCAAAGTGTTTTCTTCGTAGACGTTTAAGGGATGCATTTTCATAAATATTTAGTTGTGGTTTATCAACAGCGTTCGTCAAAATTAAATAAAAAAAAACTAAATTTCTTAATAAAAATATTTAAATTCGCGTCTAATATTTGATTTGCACTGTACAATTGCCGTAGGTAAAATCTTTGACAGCGTATAAGCCGTTAGTGATGACTTTTTTTTACAATTTTGTTTTTGGAACCGCTGATGTTACTTCTGTTTGGAATTTAGTTGAATGTTTTAAAGTTGTG